TTTGTTCTTTCTTGTCTTATCATCAGAATACTGTTTTTGCGTGTTAACAGCATTTTTACTTTGTGAACTTTTTTGCCTCATCACTGTTGCTTTGCCTACTTTTGTCTTGCATATATATATATATATATATATATATATATATATATATATATTATTATTATTATTCTTTGCGTTAATTTTGCCCTGTTCTTTTCTTTCCAATAAGCAATAACAAGAGAAACTTGGCCAAAATGCTCAACAAACAGAACTGGCAAATTACATTTGTCTGTTTAATGGCATATCAACACCTTATGGGTCATGAGCTTGAGTATATTTTTTCGTATTTCCAAAAATCATTTGCTGGTAATTTATTTTTTTATTTTTTAAATTTATACTTTCATTTTTTGACCCCAGTTTGGGGGTTCACTATTTGCCCGTAGCTGGGACCGTAATAGGTGCTACCAACCTGGATTAGGGTGGACCTGGGAACACCAGAAATTAAGAGGTGGTTCCACGCTCATCAAAACCTTCTGATCAGAGGTTTTACTGCTTTGTGTACCCAGGAGGACCAATTACATTTAACTATGGCCAATTATTCTACTGATTTATTGTGACTATTCCACATGTTATTTGCATTAGTATTCTAAATATTTTTTTATCTTTTTGTTGTTGTTATTACAGATGCAGCCTATTCTTTTTTCTCCCATACTAAATTGTTATACAGTGTAACCCGGATATGAGAGATTTTCTCTGGTCTCAAATTAGAGCCTGTGTTACCTAAACAAAATAGACCAAACCCGGATATAAGAGACTTCTTCTCCGGTCCCGACAACTCTCTTATATCCGGGTTACACTGTAACTGATCTATACGCTAACCTTTTGTTTGAAGTCGTGAGGAACACAATATTAGTGGTCAATATATATATATATATATATATATATATATATAAATATTATATATATATATATATAATATTAATTCCCAAAAGGATAGAATCCAGGTAGAAAGATGGAAGAAGAGGGATAGTTGGAAGGCAAACATTAGGAAGGATGGAAGAGGAGGGATAGTTGGAAAATTAGGAAGGACGAAAGAGGAGGGGAAGTTGGAAGACAAACATTACGAAGGATAGAAAATTATGGTGACCCTTCGGCCCATGATAAAATTTCTGTCTATGACTAAGCGACTAAACAGTAATACCAATAGCATACAAGATTCTTTTTTTTTTTTTCTCAATGTGTAAAGACGCAAACCTGCTATGCGTCTAACTGCATTATTTTCTTCGTCAAGATGAAAATACGGTCACGAGCCCCACACGTTGTCTTTGTAATGACTTGTTACAAAACTGACGCTGGACGATATTTTTGCCGTTCGCTTAAGTGAAAATCCTCTTCGTCGAGCAATCTTTCGCAGTAGAGAATACCTGTACGGAAGAATGTCGAAAAGTTTTCTTCTCCCAACCAAAAATCCTTTTGTTCCAACCGTTCTGGGAATGACGATAAACTACATCCTCGTCCTGGTTAAGAAGATGAACTACATCCAACAGCAAGATCAATGATCAGGAGGCTTTGACATGCGTGGAACCGTCTCTTAAATGCTGATGTTTCCAGGTCCACCCTAACCCGGGGTGGTAGCACCTATTACGATCCTAGCTATGGGCAAAAAAGATAACGCCCAAACTGGGGTTAAAACATTATGAAAGTGTAAAAATAGGTCTTAATACAGCAATACGTTATTGTAGAAAAAAATTACCGGCAATATATTTTTGAGGAAAAATGTTATTGCTAGCAATACATTATTACCGGCAATAAATTTGTGAGGAAAATATTACTCTCAATATATTTTTTGGAGAAAAAATATTACCAGCAATAAAAGTCTTGTCGACATTAAATAACCCATTGAGGTTGATATGCTGTAAACCAAACCAAACCTTGGCCAAAAATCAGAACTTTTTTTTGAAACTAAGTTTTGGGAAGTGAATAGAATCGAGAACATTTTAGCAACAATTTTGTTTTTGCAATAATGACTAATGACGTATTTGAAAAACTTAAAATTAATTCAGTTTTCTTCACTCCTTGAACGTTGTATACCGGCTGTATTTATTAAGGAGTCAAGGTTCAAAGCGTTAAGACTGTCTCTTTATACCTTCGGGACGTAAGATCACAGTTCTCAACAGCTTCCTCATTTTCTTTTTTCTTTTTTTTGTTAATGCCATGTCCCTTCAGGATGTAGACGATCATGGCTCTCCACATATTCCCTTTTCTATATTATCTATTTCTTTATTTCTAACACTACATACACGCTGTCATTTTGGTTGTATGCATATTTGCGCCTTAACTCTTCAAGAGGTGAGTGATCGTGGCTCTCCACAGCTTCCGTTGTTATCCATGACTTATTGAGAAAAATAATGAAGTATTTTTTCTTTGTTTTCCCGTTTGGAATTCGAACATTTCATTATCCTAAAATTGCTACCACCTAAGGCTAGGTAGCCAAGTCTACTATTTTATTTAATCACTAGCTGAAGAAAAAAATCGATTCATTCTTTTTCCGAGGATATTAATGACATATCCCTTCAGGGCATAAATGATGATGACTCTCTACAGCTTCCTTTTACTAACTGTGACATGCCATAACATGTCCACGGTTTGAAATACAGTGATTACCAATTAAGGCAAAAAATTTAGTCTATCCATAGCTGGGGGTGAGGAGAAATGGATTCATGCCTTTCTTGTCTTTAGTATAGGAAGTGAAATAAGTATTACTTAAGTTGCAGTAATTACTATAGAAACAGGATGCTGATGCTACTTACCTATTTTCCTCCCAACTAAAATATTTACTCTTTGACTAAAAACTTAGCATTGGTCTTTCCGGTGGGTAGAAAAATCTTAAGATGTGGTCAGTGACAATTTTCTTTTACTATCTTTTCTGTTTTTCATCCTTTCCATCTTCGGCTTGGCATTTTTTTTTTTTTTCATTCTTTCCATCTTTTACGCATCCAAAAAGAAAAAAGCATAAACAGAGACTGAATGGACGGCCTGAAATATTTAAAAAAAAAAAAAAAGGGCGAAAAAGAATGAGGGAAGAAGGAAAAAGTCTAATGAAAGAGAGAACAATAACGAAAAAGAAGCAGCAAAAAAGAAATAAGAAAGAATGTAAATCACTAAGGAAAAGGAAGAAAGGCAACAATAATGTATAAGGAAAAAAGAAACAATGCCATAAAAACAGATATCTGTCTATATTTCTGAGATGAGGTATTATATAACTATTTATATAATTCTCACTGTTGTCCTAATATGTTATATTGACGACGTTTCGGCCATTGTAAAAAGAGATGCCTTCTTCAGAATCAGTCTGTATTACTGAGATTCTACATATTTACACTACTTACATCATTGTCCTCATCTTTATTGTCATATCCACAACTTTTCAGCCGTTGTACGCTCCGACCTTCTTCAGGTGATATACGTTGGAATTTCGAACCGGACCCTTTAGATTTTTCTAATTTCATGTGTCATACGTTTTTATACCATCAGTATCAGTTAATTCCCTTTAGTAACCCAACTCTCCCAGTTTTTATTCTCTCTGGTTCAAGTCACTTTTTGGATTACTCAACCAACGCCTTTATTCACTGGGGGGGGGGGGCGTCTTAGTATTATTATTAATATTATTAATATTATTCTTATTAATATAATTATTATTGTAAACAAAACAACTGTCAGTGTACCCAGTTTTATAACCAAGGACACATGGTCCTCCTCTTCTAAGCAAAGAGGAAGGCCTGCCATAAAATACCTTTCTCGATTGAACTGTTATAAGAGTTTTAAAATTTTTGTTTGTTTTTCACTATTACTATTTCACGGTAATATAAATTTTCTTTTTTGTTTCTCGTTTTTGTCATTCCTTCCGCGCTTTTTAATGTTCGTTTTAATGACAGCTATTAAGTTTTCTTTTTTGTTTTTCTTTCTGTAGATCCAACTGCGTCGATCTTGTCAGCAGAAAATGGAACAGGGAAAAGAAAAAAGCAAGCAGTTCCAAATGAATTCTTTAGCAAATACAAGAATTACAAACCAGCTGCAGGAAGTGTGACCAATTCCAGACATCCCTTAGCGAAGAGGAGGACCTGCCGTAGAGTACAAGCGAATAATCTAGTCTTGTAGTCCCTTTGCGGACACAGGAAGTTCATCGGACTTGGCTTTGAAAAGAACTATATAACAAAACGAAACGAAGAATGAAAATGAATTATTCCGAGTGCTTTAACTTTTCGAGTTCAAACTCGACCTGGCCAGATAAGAAACCCTGGTCAGAAACTGTCACCGCTGTTATGACTGTCATTATTTCTGCTGTGATGATATGTAACATTTTTGGTAATTTCCTGGTTATCGCCGTAATAGCTCGACACAAAGGAATGCAAACACGGACTAACCTTTTCTTACTGAACCTTGCAATTGCCGATTTCATGGTGGGATTACTAGTAGCGCCATTCTCTTTGGCCACGATCTTGAAGGGCGAGTGGATCTTTGGAGAGATCGCTTGCAATGTTAGTGGTTTCATGAACGCCTTCTGTTATGTAACCTCGATTCACACGCTTATGTACATCAGTATTCATAAGTACTTTTCAATCACGCGACCCTTTAGCCGTTTCGTCACAGTCGCTCGGATAAGAATCATGATGGCAGCGGCCTGGATTTGGGCGGCATTTATCGCAACTATGACCATCACAGGCCTGACCCATAAAACTTTTTAAAAAATACGGGACGTCGCAAAAATAATAATCCACGGTCGATGAAAAGTTATGCTCACCATATCGTGGTTCAAGTGACTGTTATATTCATACCGCTATGCGTGCTTTGCTTCACTTATGCCAGTATGTACAGGGAGATCCAGGCTCACAATTTAAGCATTTACAGCAAACACGCGTCTTTTTTTCTAAACGATTCTAGCCCAGCAGAAAAAGAAAATTTTTAAAATTTCAAAAATGTTGGCTTGTTTTGTACTATGTTGGCTGCCCTACCACATCTATTCAATGTACGTAACAATCAACAAGAATAGAAAATTCAATACGCTCTTGAATCCAGTGGTAAGTTTTTCTTTGATTTATTTCTTTTATTTTTGAACACACAACTTCATCCTGTACGAGGCGCAGTTTATGGGGGATACGTCAGGAAGAGAACCTGTTCAAATCTAGACATCAAGCGTTAAGATTGCAGTGGTTGCCGAAGTGTCCTCTAGGGATATTTTGAACAGGTTCTCTTTCCGACGTATCCCGAGAGGATCCTTCGCCAACCATTCTAATCTTAACCTGTTCAAATCTAGAGGTCAAGCGTTGATTTCAGTGGTTGACGAAGGATCCTCTAGGAATACGTCGGGAAGATAAAGTTTAATCTCTAGATTTGAGCAGGTTAAGATAGTAGTGATCAGGGAGAGCATCCTCTTGGGAGTCAGTTTTACAAAGTAGCAGTTCTTGCTGCTTGAGTGGAACTTACATCTCACTAATGGAATACGAAGAGAATGACGGTGGTTCGCTAAAATGGGCGTGGCATGGTGGGTCTTAGCCGTGAAAATTCGAACTTGTGGCACTAAGCAATATGGTCCATCTGAACACTTTCCATAGAAAAAGCGATTGAGTAGCAAGTGGCTTACAGTGCTTCATCTGTGGGAAAATTCATTGGAGGGTGGAAAATAATTCATCACCCACAAAGCTGCGGTGATTCTTTTGGACTCGGCAAAGACTGAAGTGAAGATCGGGCAGCTCCTTCCCCTATATGACAGTGGTACCTAATTTTCTGCTTGATTTGGAACTTGTCAAGATGGGGGATAACAGAAGTCAGGTACTTACTGAAGGGGTACAGTCAATCGACCATTTTCCCCAGCCTCATGAGTGAAGGATCATATGCACGATTTTCATTTGAGGTATAGGTCGAGCTTAAGTCCCAATAAATGGTCAAGGTACAGCGTTTCACTGAGAGTACACTCATTCATTGTGATAAATGAAAATTACGGGTTTTCTCAGTGATGGTGGAACATCACTAGTTTGTCTGGTTACGTTCAATGCTTTGAAAACCAATCCTCTCAGTAATGTAGCTGTAGCAGCCCCCACCACTGAGCCGTTAGAGCTCGGTCAGAGGAGATTTTTATGATACAATGTAGACGTGAATCAACTAATCGACAGGTAAGTGAATTAACTCTTGGTAGATGTACCTTTTTTTTTATTTTTTAAGCATTACGCCCCGAGCAAGGCGTGAAGCCACTAAGATGTAGGGGGTTGCAGAAGATTTGGAGCGAGAGCATATAGGAGAGATAGAGTAGATGGTAGATCAAGGTAACTGGAGATGTCGATTGATATTACATTTGAATAGTTGGAGATTATAGCTCTCAGGGAAACAGTAATTGGGAAGAGTGTTCCACAGGCGAGAGGTGTGAGGTATGAAGCTATTGGAGTAGAAGAGACGGCTACATTTAAAAGTTTCTACAGTGTAAGGGTGGGAGCGGGATGCCAGCCTCGTAGGGCGCTTGAAATCATGGAGTCTGGGAGACAGTGAAAGCAGCTCATCGGAGCAATTACCATGAAAGTATTTGTAGAAAAGACAGAGAGAGGCGGCGTCGCGTCTGTGAGAGAGCGACTGTAGACGAGACGCCAGATCAGGGCCAATTAGATTACATATCCGTCTCTGGATCTTGTCAAGAACTCCGAGGTAAACAGAAGGTGCCCCAGACCATATATAGCAGCAATACTCCATGCAAGGGTGAATGGTTGATTTGTATATTTGAAGTATAGATTCCGGGGAAAAAAAATTCCTGGCGCGGCACAGAGAGCCAACTTTCCTCGCGGTGGAAGAAGCAATTGACTCAATGTATTTGTTCCATCTCAGGTCAGCAGTCAGCGTGAGACCGAGCAGACGCAGGGAGTTGCTCTCAAGAAGTTGACTATCAGACATTCTAATGGTGGGCAGGGAAAGATCTCTATGGTGATTGATAGAGAGTAGTTTAGTTTTTGAGGCGTTAAAGTTGACCAGCCAATTCTTGCCCCAATTAACAACCGATTGGAGGTCCATTTCAAGACGAGCGGCCAGATTAGTTTTGTCACCGACACTAGATGTTTTTGAGGCAGGAGTAAATTGTAGTGTCGTCCGCGTAGATGCCAACTTGGGAATCTATGTCGTCAGGAAGGTCGTTGATGAAAATAAGGAATAGAGTGGGGCCAAGGATGGAGCCTTGGGGAACACCTGCATTCGTGGGATAGGAACTGGAGGAGAATCCGTTGAGAACGACCTTCAATTCATGGTTTGACAGGAATGATTGTATTAGATCAAACAGTACCATAACCTGTACATATATTTTCAGACACAGACGAATAAACACGTCCAAAACAATGTTCAAATGATCACTCACCCCCTGAAGACACTGTACGTAAAAGATTAATAACCTAGCCTCGAGTAGACGTGTATATAAGTTTTTACCGAAAATAGTTTCAGACTCAGACGAATAAACACGTGGAGTAATGGATAGCGGCTCGGATTGAGGAATTGGAGAGCCGAGTTCAAACTTTGGTCGAATCCATTACATTCACTTACGTGCTAATACCCCTGGGAAAGGTGTGAATACTCTTCTTCTCCCTCCAACTATGGGTAAATAGCCTTGGATGGCAACTTGTCTAGGAGAAGGAAAAAACTCTGAATTCAAAACCTGCGGAGGGTCGTTTGGGGACCTTGTGGCACGTAGTGCACCAGGTCTCTGTAATCGGCCCTTCAAAAAGTGTAGATGGCCCTGCACGAAACCTTCACCACTATAATCAAATCTCATGTGCTATACATGCGGGTCGGGGACCGCTTGTGAATTCCAAATTCCCATGAAACTCCAATATTGGAGCCGGCTCAACCCACCTTTTTTTCAGACATAGACGAATAAACACGTCCATAATATAAATTTTTCGGACATAGACGAATAAACACGTCTATAATATAACATTCAAAAACCAGCTCCCGACGTGTTTATACGGTGATCTTTATTATACCCTTTTAAGCATGAAACGAGTTCAGTTGTCAACTCATGTCTGCTAGAAGTGTTAACCACCGCTCGGGTACTTCAAGTTACCTCAGTTTCTTAGTTGCAATATTTAATGTTTGTCTGAAAATGGAACGTTCTTTTTTTTTTCCCCAAAAAATAATCGGCGGGGCAGTAGTTAATTACAAAGGAATTGTAGCGGCTGGACACGTGCAAATAAAACCTAGATTCATGGTTAGAAGCAGATTAGCTTAGCTGAGCTAAGGAGATTAGATTCATCCTTAAAACGCACCCCTAAAATTTTGCTGAAAGTGTGGGAAAATGCTTCTACTCGCGCATAATATGCACTCCTTGTTTGGTAATCAAACCCTGTTAATTGTACCTCTCCAATTTCATTACGGCCAGTGTTTCCTAGTCTCATTTTTTAAAAAAATGGTTTTAAATATAGAATATTATTATTCTAATTTCTTTTTATGATAATTCTTGTTTTATTTTACATTTGTAAGTATTGTTAGGTACATATGATTGTATTTGACATCCTTTTTGGGTCGTAATTGCCGAATGTTAGTTTCAAATTGTCGTATGTTTGTGGTGAATAGTCATTTCGCAACAGAAATCGGCCAACGAAACGACAATTACTTGAAGATTTTTTTTTATAGCTCTGCATAATACGAACTCTTAATTTTGCATATGTTTTTAGAAAAAATGCGTATTACGGTAATTTTTATTTTATTTTATTTTTTTCTACTAATTTAAAAGGTCTCTTCTCACTTTAGTAAAGTCAGACTGGCTTACACTGAGGTATATACGAGGAATCTATTGATAACTGATTATGACCGAACCTTGCACAAATTGATTTGACATAGCCAAGATATTGTCTCTATTGGACAAGTGAACTCTAAAGCCAAAATTTGAAGCACAGATTTTACCACAGATGTTACTTGTGAGGGTGGGAGGGAAGAATCACCATGTTTCCATCCTGCTCTTTTATACTCCAGCTTTTGTACCCTGTCATTTTCAAATTGGTTCACACTATCAGCAATTGAACGACGTCGCGGTTTTCTATTGGATGCTGATGATTTCTATGTGTTGAGGGATAACTTGAAGTCATTTAAGCCTTTCTTTCAAAGTGTTCTTGTAGCGTAGGAGAAGTCTTCCCCTGTGACGATCTCCTTGAGAGATTCCCGAGTAAAAGATCTGCTTTAGAAGCCTAGTGTCTTCCGTGCACACAACATGGCCAGCTCAGCGTAGTTGGTTCATTACGAACATTGCCCCAATACTTGGCAGACTGGTACGATCCAGAACAGATATATTTGTAACCGTATACTGCCACTTTACACCCATGATTTTTCTAAGGCATCTATGGTGGAATTTTTCCAGTGCCTCAATCTGTAGGAGATGCGTGACACTGACATACAAAAGAGATGGAAGAACATTCACACGGTACACGGCTATTTTTGTCTTCAGTGCCAGGCCGTTTTCTCGCGCCATATTCTCTTTCCCAAATAGCTAATTGAAGATCTGGCCGCGATGATGCCGTAGTAAAAACTTTATTTACATTATTCGGACTGTTGTCCTTATTGCCATATTTACGGCGTTTCAGCCGTTGTATGCATCCGCCTTCTTCAGGTCATTGGCATTTCGAACATAACCAGTTATTTCATCCTCTGGGGTAGATTGTTCTAGTTCCACGCGCCATGCCTCTTGTCATGTTCGCACGGTACACGGCTATTTTTGTCTTCAGCGCCAGGCCTTTCACGCGTCATATTCTATTTCCCAAATGGCCGAAAGAAGAAATGGCCATAACGACGACACAGTAAAAACTTTATTTACATTATTCGGACTGTTGTCCTTATTGCCATATTTACGACGTTTCCACGTGCCATGCCTCTTCCGGATGTCTCAGTTATCTCCTTTTTAACACGCCTCTCCAAGTTACTTCAAGTCCGTGGATTCAACCAACGCTTTTATCCACTGGGCAATGTGTCCTTGAAGACAAAAACTTTAATATAATACCCACTAATGACCACTACTCTAATCGTAGCTATAAGATCATGCCTAAACCCCACAAATATT